GAGGGGGACGCTACATGAAACTGAGTTTCTGCACATAAGGACAGAGATCTGACTTTTTGAAGAAAGGTCATCTGGTCTGTCAAAAAATTGAACTGTTTGGCCACAATGACCAATCACTATGTCTGGAAGTAAAAGGGGGAGTCCTGCAAGCCAAAGAACATCGTGAAGCACGGGGGTGGCAGCATCATGTTGTGGGGGTGCTTTGCTGCAGGAGGGACTGGGGCACTTCACAAAATAAATGGCATCAAGAGGAAGGAAGATTATGTGGATATACTGAAGCAGCATCTCAAGATGTCAGCCAGGAAGTTAAAGCTTGGTCACAAATGGGTCTTGTCCAAATGAACAGTGACCCCAAGCAGACTTCCAAAGTTGTGGCTAAATGGCTTCAGGACAACAAAGTCAAGGTACTGGAGTGGCCACCACAAAGCTCTGACCTCAATCCAATAGAACATTTGTGGGCAGAACTGAAAAACTCTGTGTAAACAAGGAGGCCTCCATTCCGGACTCTGTTCCACCAGTTCTGTCAAGAGGAATGGGCAAAAATTCCAGCTGTTTATTGTAAGAAGCTGGTGGATGGCATCCTAAAACGTTTGACCCAAGTTAACCAATTTAAAGGCAAGGCTACCAACTAACCAAGTGTATGTAAACGTGTGACCCACTGGGAATGTGAGGACAGAAATAAAAGCTGAAATAAATCTTTTTCTCTGCTATTATTCTGACATTTCACATTCTTAAAAAAAGTAGTGATGTTTATAGGATCAAATGCCAGAAGTTGTGAAAGACTGAGTTTAAATGTATTTGGCTCAGGTGTATGGAAACTTATGACTTCAACTTTAGTCTGAGCATTTTCTCTCTCTTTCTTTATTAATTTAGTTGAGATGTTTCATTTCAGCAACAGGAATGGGAAAAAGGAAAAAAAACAGTGAGCAAACTAAAGTAACAGCGTGCCATCAATCATAGGGCATTATTATATAGTATAAGCCTGCTGTAAATGATCAGGTCTCAGTGCAGAGTTGAAGTTCACCAAGGGTTCGCTCAGCTCCAGCTCTTTCTGCAAAGGTTAGGAAGAAGGGTTAGGGGTAGCATGTCATCCAGTTTTGGATTTTTTTTAAGTTTCTTTGCCTTTTTTAAACAAATTGTAGTAAAATCTTTGTAGATGTTGTTTAACACAGTGCACATTGCTGACTGACCAAAAAAGGCTATTTAAAAGCTTGAGGGCAAAAACAGCAAAAGATCAGTTACCTGCAGTTTACATGTTTAACCAAGGGACAGTAACGCATGTGGGTTGGTGAGTCCACCCTCAAGAGGAAGAAGTTAAACGCTCATCGATGTGCCCAGCAGATCTTTGAGAGGATTCATATGTATCTGAAATGTATTACTGTTTTTAGAGAAGATTTGTCAAATTCTTGTCAGTTCTCCTTTAGTTCAGAAACGGAAGGACAGTGTTGATTAATTTCTAGTAAACAGACATTATAACCAGACAACTACAGCATGGTGAATGCTTGTTTGTAGTTCCAAATAAATGTGCCAGTCATGCCATCACCACACAGGATGCATATCGCTCACAGAACTCCTCCTGTTTCATGTCAATAGCGAGCATGCCATGCACAGATCTTTGGCCACTCATGTATGTAACAAAGTTTTACATTAAGTAAATGTTTGGTACAGTTACAAGTGTGCCCTTTTTTGATGAATTCTGGACAAATGTAACCTGCTGGAGAAGGATCTGGGATTCTGTCACTCAGTAACTTGCCTTTTTAAAACTGAGTACGACTTTGATTTGCTACTAAGCACTGTCAATGTTGGCAAAACACACTCGTTTGTGGCAAGTGTGAAACTTGCTTCTGCTTTAAATGAAGGTTTTATTAAAACATGAATTCATTCATTAGTCCATTCATCTGTCTTTCGTGTTATTGTCTTTTTTACTTGATGAAAATGTAATACATTTACATGTATCGATTTGAAAAGTAACTTACAGTAGATAAACATCCATCCATCCTCATGACATCTCAGGCCACATTAGTTTGGTGCTCAACAAACCTGATCCTGCAAATAAAGCTGTGGGAAGTCTTTCATATCCTTTACTCCCCATCGCTTCCCTGCAGGTCTATTTGTGGTTCCTATGGTTTACAGAAGTAGAATGGGAGGCAGAGCCTTTAGCTATCAAGCTCCTCTCCGATGGAACCAACTCCCAGTCTCAGTTCCGGAGGCGAACACCCTCTCTACCTTTAAGATTAGACTTAAGACTTTCCTTTTTGATAAAGCTTATAGTTACAGTAGGTTAATATAATATTGTTGTTTACAATATACCCAGTAGGGCCCTGAGGGAGGTTAGAAAGGTACTTAGTATGTTGTGACATTCTGATATTTCATGGAATCATAACAACAAATGTGGCTGAACAGGGATAAGACTGACAGCCATCTTGGTAACTACAATCAGAGGGCCTGGGCTGTCCTGTTGCCACTGAATATATTTAACTGTACCAGTGGTTTCTAGCCAACAGGATGGCCTTCGCTTGGGCCCATGTAGTGGTGTCTATGAAATTACTGGACATGGATTCTAGGATAAGTTTGGTTTGGTGTACCATCCCTTAGTTAAAAGCCTAGGCTGAGGGTTGTCCCTTGGTGCTTATTATTACTGCAGTCAATTTGATTGTCTCTGCTCACCTCCAGTCAGTCCACTGTGTTCAACCAAAGGAATCCTATGAATCACACTCACCTGTAATACTTGCTTTCAGGTTCCTACTAAACTGCTGGAAGCTTCTTGTTGGACTTCAAACTTCAATCTTGTTGCTAATCTGTCATTTTCTCTGCCATCCTCACCTGTGTAGAGAAGACCCTGCCCCTGTCTCCACCTTGAGAAAATACCTCCCTCCAACCACTGCTGGCTGTCTACTTTAATCACTTTTCTTATCTGTTTGTCTCTGCACAGTCGTTTACTAGTCCAGTTTGGTCCCTGCATGGTGGTTACATATATATATATAGTATATATAGTATATACCTAGAGTATAGCTGAGGTAACAGCACTAACCACCGCACCACTGTGCTGCCCCCAGTCAAGACACTTATTAAAATCAAATGTTAGTCAGACTCTGGGTCTGGATGATTCAGAGCTAAACAGCCTAGTTCGTCTGGGGCTTGACATAGCACAGGCTTGTCTTTATGGGTTCTTTACTCCATCTCAGGTTTTTTATTTGCTTCAGTTCAGGAGTAAAACTGAGCAAGTAGGTTAACAGGGAGGTAAGGGTTTAAACAAAATAGCAAGAAAAGAAGTATGGACAAAGGAAAGCAGCTGGGCTGTGGGTAATTCAGTGTATGAAGCCAGTGACAGTGGTAAACAGGTTAGAGATCTGATTTAGAGGGAGCAGGGAGAAGTCACAGATGTATCCAGTCATACAGGGAAATGCTGTCAAAACATCTGTCACTGCTGTCCTAGGCAATGTGACTGTAACTACATATAAACTGTGTCCTTGCAGGTGCATGACAAAAGTGTTTACATCATGACTCAGGGCAGCATGGGTCCTTTTGGGGCCACATGTAAGTGTTGCTGTTGCTGTAAGAGATATGGTTACCTCTCACTGCTGTAGCATTAGAAGGAATTATTAGCATACTTTTGTCATGGTTTAGAGAGGGCTCAGCTTCAAGGTTAGCTGATATTTCAACAAGTTACTACAACTCAGTGTGTCCTTTGCCCACAAATGAGGAAGAAAAGAAAGGGCAAGAAAACAAGGAAGCATTTAGTCTCTTCAGTAGCAAATGCTGGAGAAAAGCATTCAAATGTTAATCTCACCTACAAAGCTCTGATTATCTAATGTTTCTTCAACCTGGTGGAAACAGTCCCATTCAAACAGCAGCTCGCCAATAAAACCAAACTTCTTTAGTTTTGATTCTGATCCAGCTGTGGAGTGACTGGAATTTGTTTTTCCTTAGCTCAGCAGTTGCTGAGGAAATGCAAGTTGTTAAATTTCCTCATCCTAAATTTCCCCAGTCATAGAGATGATGAACACAGAATCTGATGTTTCCAATGCAGAAGCCAAAGTTACAGTTGTGAGTAACTAAATACTAACAGACAGTTTATCACCATTTGCTGACTCAGGGAGCAAAATGAAATCATAATGCTGTTGGACAATAAATATTACTTTGGTGAGCCAGAACACAGCACAGTAGCTGTGGGCGAAAAACAGATGGAAGTTGTGACGACACAGTGATGATCTCTGGGTCTGCAAGTATAAAAGTGATCAGCCTCCCAACGCTCACTCCACTCGAGGCTAGATCACCATGACGATTACTGAACATGAGGCACATCTGAAAGGAAAGGGCAGAGCCACAGAGATATGGTGAGTGTTTCAAAAGCTTTCAACAAAGCAGAAAGAATGATACAGTATATTGGCAGTTTCTGGCCTTTTACTTTTGTTGCTTGGTATTTGCAATACGTATAATGATTAGGCCATTTCTGATGTAGGAGCCCTGGGATTTTATGTTGAGTAAAGATGAAAAGTAGATAATAGCCAAGTGTTTTGTTCAGGGAATAAGGCAAAATCAGTCTAAATAATCCAAAGTCATCCAAAGACAACATTTTTACCTGTCCAGGTAAATTAAATGTAGCCCAGGTTGGCACACCCAATCTGGAAACTGTTCTGTTCATATATGTACAGTATTGTGTTGCCTGTCTCATACTGTATACCCCCCCACCCCGTACAGTGTATTGTAATTTGTGCCACAGTATTATACATAAGGTTTATCACTGTCATTCCTAGTTTCCAATGGCTGCAAATACATCAAACTGGGTGCCGACTGTGGACCCAGAGCTGGACCCCTGCAGTAACTACACTGAAGCCTGGCTGTGGTTGTCTGCCCTGCAGCCGACCTACCTGGGTTTGGTCAGTGTCATTGGCTTGGTGGGGAACAGTCTGGTTCTCTGTGTGTTCTGCCTGCAGAGGAAGCCCTGCACTGTGGCCAACATCTACCTGGGAAACCTGGCAGCTGCTGATCTGGTCATGATGTCCTGTCTTCCTTTTTGGGCTGTCACTATCGCCAAAGGCTACAAGTGGGACTTTGGAGAGGTCCTGTGTAAGCTAGTCAACATGGCCATCTCTATGAACTATATCTGCAGTGTTCTGTTCCTCACGCTGGTCAGCATGGACCGCTACTTGGCTCTGGTGAAGCCTATGAGCTCCAGCTGTCTGAGGAGAGCAACATGGGCCAAGCGTATCTGCCTGGGGATGTGGAGCCTGGGCTTCCTCTTTAGTTTGCCCATCCTGCTCTTCCGTACAGTGGAGTACGTAAAGGATCCCGGTGTAGATGCCTGCATTCTCACCTACCCCAACCCAATATGGAAGGTGCACCACAACATTATTAGGAGTGTAGTGGGCTTTCTCTTGCCTGTTCTGGTGGTGGCTTACTGCACTTGTCACACTGTGGTGGCACTGAATAGCCAGGGAGCCAGAGGACTCACCGGGGTGAGGACAGAGGCGAGAGCAACTTACTTGGTCCTCACAGTCCTAATCGTCTTCCTCATCTGCTGGACACCATACCAGGTGATGCGATTTCTTGACACTCTGGATTACTTCCATTTCATACCTGGATGCCTCTGGGGTCATATCCTGGACATTGGCATACAGCTGTCCACATATCTGGCGTACAGCAACAGTGCAGTTAACCCTTTTCTCTTTGTCATTGTGGGGAAACATTTCAGGAAAATGGCAAAAGAGGTGTTTGGAAGAACTCTGAACCCCATGTCAAAAGACAAGACCTGACAAGACTTGAGGGTGAGCTTCACCTTAACCAATAGACTCAATGAAAATCAGCATATAAGTTTTGAAAAGCTTGACCAAAACAAATTATGACCAACTGCTGGAGAAACCCCTTACACAGTAAACTGATTAAAACATGTACAGTATATGCTGAAAAAAAAATTGAAACAGAACTGCTAAAACAAAGCCAGGTATGATTAAAATGTGAAGCCTGGTTTGCACACTTTGGTTCTTCTCATAAGTGAAGTAAAAGTGGTGACCATCACTCCCCAGCTCATCCCTGATAGTGAGGGAGCTGTATGCTACACTATAATCATCATTAACATATGTGATATGATGTGGGAAAATGTTTTCTTTTATCCAGATAAAACTAAAATACCTTCTTTACTACTGCAGTTCTATTGACCACTTCCGACTTCCAGTCGGAATTTGGTCTGGTTTCAAAACTGTTATGGATGAGGTCCCCTCACCAGGAGGGTGAGGGAGAACTGAAGTAGGACTCAAGATGGCTGACCCAGGTGCTAGTAAAAATGATGGTTTAATGGTAGGGATTACAAAAGAAAAAGGAAAAGAGTCAATGAATACATTCCACCAGGGCTGAGCAAAGATGACAGAGGAGAACAGGACAAACAGGTACAAAAATAAACTAACGGCAGGAGGATGAGGATGGACAGGTGAAAGAAGAAAGAGGCAAACGACAAAAGAAATCAACCGCACAGGAACTGTCAGCGGTCTTCTATAAACACAAAAAAATAACCAACGTACATAAGGCGATCCACAGCACAGGTATTGTCAGCATGTAAAACCAAATGACGTACAATACACGAGTATAGTGCTGTTACGGGGTATGCACGTTACAGTAGCTAAGTCACGTACTTTGGGTAAGTAAATGCTCCGGCGACGGCAGAGCGTCTGCCAGAGGTATAAATAAGGAAGGACTCAGTCAACGGGATGCCCCCCAGCTGTGTGCACCGACAAACGAGTCGCTAATTACCGAATGCACACAGCTGAGGTGCGAGATCCCACAGGTCGAGAGAACAGAGGAGAGAAAGGCGGAAGAGAGGCAGGTCACGCCGAGCAGACCTGACAGTTCTTTGAGGACATTTTTTCTCTTGGAGAGGCAGGTTGCGCCGAGCGGACCTGACTAAAACAGAGTTTTGAAAAACCCGACATATCTGCTATGACCAGCAGATCTGATAGCCATCGCAGGCACAAGTCAGTTACTGTTATTTATCATCTAATCTGGTGGTGTGCAGATGTGCATGCAGTGCTCAGTTTTCTGTCTTAACTAACTCTTGCCCTACAGCTGCTAAAATCTCCTCTATATTAACTGGTTAGTTATCAACTTTGTCTGCTGTTTGGTTCTGGGCAGGAGATGTACATGAGCGCTATCAGAGTTATGTTGCTGAAACCAGCTGCAAGATGATTCCTGTTGAGTTCTAATTACTGGAGGTCATGTGCTCTGGCAATGCCGAAAGATTTATTGGCACAAATAAATTT